CCCCGCAGCAGAAACCACCCCCCCGGCAGCAGCGAGAGCAAGAAAACCTCCTTCCCCTTCCTCCCGCACAACTCGCTGTCCCCTCCCTTCCCACTTCGCGAACGCTGATTTCTGAGATGAAAATCTTCCTCTTCGGACAGCCAGGACTCGTATGAAGGACACGCAAATTTGGGATCATAAATAAGGAGCGAGTCTGGCGAGCTCAGAAACCCAGCCCAAAAGGAGCAGCATCAAGAATCCACCCTTCTCCTGCACAACTCACTCCCCACCCAACACACACAGAATACTAATTTCCTGAGATAAGATCTTACCCCTCTAAACAACCGCACACGCGCATGCACACACACACACAGAGTGTATATTATTACTAAATATAATAGGTTAAACCCAGCAGCACGGGAAAAAGCCTCTTCTGTAACTCACTCCCCCTTTTACACCCTCCTGAATGCTGAGATCCTGAGGTAGATTTTTCCCTTACCCACAGCAAAGACTCTTTTTGAACAGGACACAAAATATATATTAGATTATAGAGATGTATTAAATTATTCCAGATTTAAATCTATTTTTTGCTGCCAAGGGGTCGGGGGACCAGACGTCATTGTATTTTTTTTTTTCTTTCTTCCCTTTTAACTCATTTATGGGCGAGTCAAGGCTGCTTAGGAGGAAGAAAACAGGATAGTTGGAATCTCTTTATCCTTATTCGCCAGAAGCTTTTTCTCTCATTGCTGTGCATTTCCTTTAGAAAAAGGAAACCTCTTATTTTGTGAACCAAAGATTTATTTTTCCCTTCCTCCTGGCCAAAGGAAGGAAGCGGACACAAATTGACACATTTAAATAGTTGAAGAGATCTATCTTTTGCAAAAAAAAAAAACATCTTTATCCAAATCTCAAATAAATAGCGTGGAGGGAGAAACTGGAATATCTAGCTAAAAGCAAGATACTTAATAATCTCGCCTCGGAAGAGGACGAGGTAAACACTAAACATCAACTTGTTCTTACAGGGAGGATTCAAACCCTAAATATAATAAATGGGGGATTACGGGTTTGGAGTGTTAGTGCAAAACAACACTGGAAATAAGTCAGCTTTTCCAGTCAGATTTCATCCACATCTGCAACCTCCACACCATCATCAAAATGCAACCCCCAGCCCTGCTGCTTTTATAAATAATAACACAGCTGCCAATGGCAGTAGTGCTGGGTCAGCTTGGCTCTTTCCTGCTCCAGCTGCCCATAATATTCAGGATGAGATTCTGGGGTCAGAAAAATCTAAAACTCAGCAACAGGAAAAGCAAGAGTCCCTAGAAAAACAGCAGCTTTCCCCTGGTCAAAGTCAGGAAGCAGGCATGCTCTCTGAACCCGAGAAAGCTAAAACTGAAGAAAATCAGGGTGATAATTCTTCAGAGAATGGCAATGGAAAGGAGAAAATAAGAATAGAATCGCCGGTGTTAACAGGATTTGATTATCAAGAGGCTTCGGGGCTAGGTACTTCGACGCAGCCCTTGACATCCACTGCGTCTTCTCTGACTGGTTTTAGTAACTGGTCTGCAGCTATAGCTCCTTCTTCTTCTACAATAATCAATGAAGATGCAAGTTTTTTTCACCAGGGAGGGGTCCCTACTGCCTCGGCTAATAATGGTGCTCTGCTGTTTCAGAATTTTCCACATCACGTCAGCCCTGGTTTTGGTGGTAGCTTTTCCCCCCAAATTGGACCCCTCTCTCAACACCACCCTCATCACCCTCATTTTCAGCATCATCACAATCAGCATCAGCAACAGAGGAGGTCTCCTGCAAGTCCTCATCCACCTCCATTCACACATAGAAATGCTGCTTTTAATCAATTGCCTCATTTGGCTAATAATCTTAACAAGCCACCTTCTCCGTGGAGCAGCTACCAAAGTCCATCGCCTACGCCATCTTCATGGAGCCCCGGTGGCGGTGGATACGGTGGGTGGGGTGGGTCCCAAGGTCGAGACCACCGCCGGGGACTGAATGGAGGGATAACACCCTTGAACTCCATCTCGCCCTTAAAGAAGAATTTTGCAAGTAATCACATCCAGTTGCAGAAATACGCTCGACCCAGCTCAGCCTTTGCTCCAAAGTCGTGGATGGAAGACAGTTTGAACAGAGCTGACAACATTTTTCCTTTTCAGGTGAGCATACTCTGTTGTAGCCGTAAGAAAAATAACACGTGAGGGCATTAAAATGCCCGAGAAAGGGTCAGGTGTTTGAACAGTCCAGTCTGGTTGTCTCTCTGCTGTGCTTGCCACTAAACAAAAATCTATGGCTAACTGGAAATGTCATGGTGTGAATTATGCTCCGAGCTGTGTATTATGGGTTTTTTTTTTAACAGAGGTGATCATATAGATATCGGCTGCTCACCAGACATTGATATTAGCTGGTTGCCTTCAGTTTAATACTGACACACATTCAGAAATAGCCGATGAACAAATTGAGTTACAAGCAGTGAGTACTTCTACAAAAAGGAGTAAGGAAAAAAGTGCTGCTGGATGAAGTATGAAACATCTGAGGCCTTGTGGAGTATTCGGGAATGTACCACATCTGAGGAAAAGTATGAAGTGATTGTGTTTTATTTTACAGCATCATATGGACTTGTAATGCAACACAGTTTTTGTAGCGTTATTTGGAAACTGATTGGGTTTTTTTTACATGATGGCGATCAACGCAGTTTGCTTTCCTCGGTAATGGCAGCAGAATTTGGTTACGGGCCATTAAATCATCACCAAAAATAGATCTGGATGAGTGTCAGTGCTCTCCTATATTTTAATATGGTCTTATCCTGGCAGGAGGCAGGTTGTCTGGCAGTTCCACCTCTCCTTCTAGCCTGACTCCTTATGAATTTGAAAAGGACTGTATAGCTGAACCTAATCTGCAGTAAAAACTAAACCAGAAGTCCCCTTCATCTGACTGCTAGTTAATCCTAGCTTGTGTGTGTGCCGTTTGTCAACTCCTTTAGGGTGAATCCCAAAACCCAAGAGTTCTTTTATGTTTAGAGAGTTGGTTTTCAACATCTTCAAATGAGGGCAAAAGTAAAAATTTCAAGGTGCTTGCAGCCCTCTTAGCCAAGCTGCAAGAACCGGGGTGACCTACTTAAAATAATTTGAAAGATCTGTAGATAAAAAACATGTAATATGTGTTGTGTTATAAACCACCCTAAAGAAATACATTGAATAATGGCCTCGTGGATTCAGACGTAGGAACGGTTCCGTTCTTCGTGAACTCTGGTGTGTTTGGTTTGCAGGGCCTGCCTGTGCAGCCTCCTGACGGAGCTGCTGCTGGTGACAACTTTCCATCAGAGACCCCGCTGCTAGCGCAGAGCTACTAGCTGGTTCAGTACCAGGTAGAGCCCTTGTAAATCTACAGTGCATAGTAATAATTGATTTTAATGTCAGGATTTGTAATGAATATAATGAACCTGTGTCCAGCACACCAGATTTATACACTGAAACCATTAGAAAAAGGGGCACAGCTGGAGTCGGTCTTTTTTTCAGCCTCACTGCAGCAAGGCTTGGCTCACGGTTTAATTCATTCTGCGCCCTGACACATAGCTGATGTTCAGAGCAACAGAACGAGATCAAGTGCGTTCTTGCTGCTGTGTGGAAGGCCCCAGTCCATACGCAGCGATAGAACCGTGCTTGGTTTGACACGAAGGAAATTTCAGGATATTGGCAAAGTCAAGGCTGACTTCTGGGTGGCGTTCCAAACACAAAATGTCAGACACACGTATTTTGATGACGGTAAAGAAATATTTTTTTGCGTAGCGTGGTGGTATCTGTTTACATAAACACTAAGATGAAGCTGTACATGTCAAGACCGAGTCTGACACTTCTTCATGCCAAGAAAAGGAGAGTGTTGGAGTGAAGTGCTTTCCAGTCTGTTGCTATCACTTCTGTGAAGAAAAGGGCAGGGCAGCAAAACAGGACTTCAGCACTGCAGCCCGAGAAAGATGCTGATTAATTTTGAAGCCATCTTGGGCAACTGCATTTTATAACTTTTTTTTTTTATTTGTTATAAAATCTTTAGCTGCTTTGGTCATTTGGTCGTGTGTGTGCTGAAAGCATACTGAAGCTTTGAATCGCTGGAAACAAATGATGTAAAATTCGATGTCTTTTTATTTTTGTTGATTATGCTGATTGTATGCCAGACTCGAAGCAGAAAAACGGGCTTTTGCTTATTGTGTATTTGTGTTCATGCACATAATATATATATGAACTACCCTTGATGATGCAGTCGTGTATTGGAGAAGGCCCTTTTGTTACGGGAATCTTCTTAGATTCCTATTTAGGAAATAATTGAAAGCTGTCTTTGCTGCGGCAACATAATGGAGTAATATGATACAACTCTCCCTTTCATTTAATATTTATGTTTTGCTGCTTAAATCATTAACAAGTGTTGCTAAATCTAGTGAAAATCAGTTTATCTGGAAGGCAAGATGTAAACCAGCTATTGCAAACGTTTGGGGATCACTTTTTTTTTCCCCCTCAAAGGTTGTCTCTAACAGCAAAGCCTGGGGAAATGCAGAAGTCTGTGTTTTGATGGAAATCTTAGGGTAACCAAGTGTAAGTGCTTGTTTCCTCTCCGGAGAGGACAACGTTGCATAATGTCCCTATAAGCCACTAGTGCGAACTACTGCTCACTTCAGATATTTCTGCCCATGGCCCTTAGGTGCTTGTGATGAAGTGGGCGTTCCACATGGCGCAGGGAAGTACTGTGGTGATGTTTGATAATCTTGCAATTTGATGATGGCTTGCTTGGTAAGAGCTGCATGCAAAACATTGTGCCTGCTGTTGTGTTTTTTTATTTGGAATTCTGTCTCAACAGTTCAGACGGAGCATGTCTGTAGGAACCTCTATTTGCAGAGGTGGAATTGGAAGCAGGGTCGGAGAAGACCTTTACCAAACCTGTTAATGAAATTAAGTTTTGATACTGTGCTTTAGCCACTGGGCAGGCTTCCCCCTTCAAAGATCTTTTGAAAAGAGAAAAGCCATTGTTCTTTGTGCCTTCATTTGAAAAGGAAATGGTCTCCAAATGAAAAAATGGTTCCTGAATTAAAAAAAAAAAAAAAAAAAATTGAGTCTTTTGGATATAACAGCCTTCCCTGAGAATTAATAAAGCAAAATGCTTTGACCGTGACTGTCGCATCTTACAAAGTTTCTGATTTTTTAAATAATTCCTTCTACTTCTCTCCCAGCAGCACTGACAGACGAAGTGCTCAGTAATTGTATTTCACTGCAGTGTTGCCCTCAAGATTGTTTTGGCTTTCCTTTTGCTGTGTACTTGCACTTCCTCATGAGAGTGGAACATCCTGCCTGTTACGCAATGCATAAATCTTGCTTTGATAGGCATTTCCAGGTTTCCAGATCTCATCTTCAAATGCGTGACGATGTTTTTTAAATTGGTCTTTGAAGGCACAAGCAAGTTAAGTAATACTGGTCAGCTTTCTGTAAAAATGCTTAAAAATAATGTATGTTTCTTCCCGGAATCAGGTTTGAAAATTACAGCCATTTCAAAGAATTTTGTACATGAGAGCAGTTCATTACATGCACTTGTTCAGAATGTTTTTTCCTTTCTTCTGCAGTGGCTAGTTTCCAGGTATATAACCCCTTCCAAATCCATTGAGGGTCTGTGCCAGAGAGACTTTCTCTTCCCCCAGGCAGATATGGAATGTTTGAGAAAGCACCTACGTGATTGCAGAATGTGTTTTAATTCTGAGCTCTGTGTCATGAGTTGTTTGCCCAGAGAAATGGGTTGATTTAATAAGTGAGTGAAACACATTCACAGGGAATTGGAATTAAAAAAGTAATTTCTTGAATGCGTTTGCCAGTCTTTCCTCTTGAAGGAATTCTGGAAATAAACTTCTTTACCATGTCTCTTAAAAACTTGCTCTTTGTTTTTGAGGAACTGTTCCGTAAATCGTGATGGCTGGTTGCATAAAATAAGGCTACTTGGTTTGCAGAAAGTTGTGCAGAATTTAATGTTTATTCTAGCAACATAATTATTCCGAGAATCTTCAAGCTATCATTTAAAAATAGAATAAATCCCTGAAGTTGGGTTTTTAGATGTGTGTTCACCCATTTTTCAATAGCTACACCGGCTGTGTGCTGATGAGGGTGTTGTGTGCTGTTCCCCACCGATCTGTGGAATTAGAAGCACTCTAATGTGGTGTGACATGCAGAAGTTAAGTACTGTGGAAGCTAACACTGTTCTTGTTTTATAAACTTAACTACTGACGTTAATGCTTCGGCTTTGGCCCTCCTGTGCGTTTTTGACCTCAGGGTTTCTTTTTAAAGAGAGCTTTTGTTAGAAGCTATTTGAATTATGTTTGTATTTTCCTCAGATTAAAAGGGGCACTCTTATTAAGCATTTTGCTTTGAAAATTGCATATTTAGCAGCCCAGCACAAGGAGTGAGAAGGCAAGATACTGAGGAAAATTATTTCTAGACTATACATTAAAAATATGTGGTTAAAATAGAATCAGACATGTTACTGGAAATTTTTATAAAGGTCTGTAATTTCTGACACTTAAGAAAAAAAAGAAAAAAATGTTTGACTAAACCAGAAGTGCTCCCTCCCAAAAAACTCCTATGTTATGCGTCACTTTTCCAGCTTTTTCTTATTGTTCCCTGGTGAAGCTACTAAAGATGATCAGGGCAGCACACAGCAACATCCTTTCAGGAAAAACCTGTTTATTCCAAGTCTTTAATTCACTGGATACTGGACTGGGAGCTGGAATACAGCATTTGCAGGGGGGTGGGAAGGAGGGGAAGTTCACCCAGAAGCATAAGTCCAAATTTGCTTTGCAATTAAGATACAAATGTGGCACTTTTATTTAGTACCTACAATATTCCCTCTCCCTACACCCTTTACTTCGCCTGAGACACAAGGCTTTTTAATCGTGGGAAACACGTACAAGGTTTCGGAAAGCTTTAGGCTTCCCATGCTATAATGAGGTTAGCCAACAAAGTTGTGAGTTTTCTAACTTTCAAGAGTATTCTGGTTTGACAAAGATTTAAGTATATAAAATAAGCCCCAGTTTTACAACTACACCTACTCCATAAATACTGCTTAATCACCTTGAGTAAAGTGCTTAATGCACCGGCATCCTTTGCATCATTATTGATGTCTTTGTCTTCAGAGAAATCATGTAAGGTTAGGCACAGCCTCAGCTACCAGCAAGTGCTCATACCTTGCCAGGCTTTTCTTTTTGTACAGTTTGTGTTTTTAGCACTGGGAGGCCCATCCTGGGAAGCTCGGAGTCAGAACTCTGGGTTCTGGAATCTTAATTGCTCAGGTGATGATACTGCTGTTTGTGCAGATTAAGTATAATGAATCTGCACCTTGATGGTTAAGTTAGATGTACATTTTTCTGATGTACAAGAGAATTTATGTATGGGATTTTAAAGTGCTAAGTATGATCTTCCTTTTTGGAATGTAAAGTCTTTGCAGTTAGAAAAACGTAGTAGTTCTGCTCTCTATGCTTTAACAGTGAGATTGCATTAGTGTGAGCACTGTATGTGCTTACAGATGATTTCTAGACAGTGGGACAATCAAAATAATTTCATTTTTCTGTAGACAGAGCTGGCCAATGTACCGTTCAAAGCTGTTGTAGGATATTTACCGTCTCGGCAGCTCTCTCTTAACCAGATCAGCTACCTGTCACCTCTTGCATATTATTGTGAAAACACACTGCTCAGTCAAAATTATGTTTAATGAATGTCTTTTGCAATGTTGGCTGACATTTTACACAGTCATGTTATTAAGACTGCAGGTTGGTTTCTTTCTTTTTGGTTGTTTGTTTGGGGCTTTTTGTTTGTTTGGGGTTTTTTTTTTGTGGGCTTGTGTTCAACCTGCTCTCTCTCTGCCTCAGTTCTATTTCCCAAGGATAGTTGTGTGTGTCCCTTTGGGCCCTCTGATAATGCAAATTTTAGATGCTGCAAACAACTCGTGTAAAGCCAAGTTCTTGTGCCCAACCTGGGTAAATAATATCAGGCTGTAGTTAACTTATTTTGTAACTGAAGTGTACGTACTCTGCTGTATTCCAGGGTAGTCATTACCCCATATCTGTGCTGTATAAATAAATAAAGTAGTGAATGGTAAGCAATCCAGCTCCATGGAAAGCACTGTAACTCTGTGAATTGATCCCTTAAAAACACCACCATATTGTTATTAATGCTCACTACAGGAAGTCTCTTGAAGAAAACATCATTTTTGCTAAGTACAGTGTGGCTTACGTGCTTTGTAACTCATAACTGATGTGTATCTGGGGTAAGCTCACATTCAGTTGCCAGTTAATGATCAATATCTTGACTGTTGCAGTTTTTTTGATGTTGTGGAATTAAATGTGTAGTTTCACATTTCTTCAGCAATATGGCCACTACCACTAACCTGTCATCAGTCTGTGTTAGGTATATAATTCACCCGTATTTCGGATACAACGTGTTTCTGATGTGCTGGCCATCTTGGAAGTTAAAGACTAAGTTAACATCAGTGCGCAGGGTCATGTTTTAAAGTGTTTGCAGTATGATTAGAAGCTTATGGACCGTTGAGTACAAGAGTGACAGCTAGCTGGTTCACTCAGAAAGGGAAAACTATGAACACCTCACCACAAAAAGCTTCCATTGGAGCATGTGGTATTGCTATCCTCTAACCAGTTCAATTCCATTTTTTCTCCAGTGTTTAAACTCTCTGTTCTTGATATGAAAAATTTACCATTGCAGGAGAACCCTCTGTTACCATGGCCCAACCCCACATGATGCAGACGTAGAGAGAAGAGACCATCTTGGGGCTCATGTACTCCAGCGCATACGAGGCACATAAACCAGAAAGTACTTGGCCTGGGTTTCTCTCTCGGTTAAGTGCCACATATTTAACAAAGACTTGGAACTACTGAGGTTCTGCCCCTTGTGAAACAAGAATTTTGTAGCTGTTTGTAGGTTGGACTTGAGGTTAAATCCACACAGGGAAACACAGTACAGTAAGAAAGCCAGAATGGAAGAAGGAATAGCTACCGAGGGATGTCAGGTTTCCAGAACACGCTCCCACCTGTGGTTCAGGTTATCTTTGCCGTGTTGGGAGGACTGCTGAAAAGGTAGAGATTGTCTGCTAGCATCCATTCCTGAGTTACGCAGCTGTTAGATCCTAATGGGTCCAGGATGCACCTCACGGACTTTTACTCTGTCCTGCTAAGGTATTTTAATGTAACTAGAATTTGAAATAGTTATGAGCTAGTAACGTATAAACCAAAACAATAAACAAAATGCTACCAGGAAGGAAGGAAACCAGTAGGAAACATGAAAGTAAAACACATAATTTAAGAATTTAAATGCTCGTGATCATTTCTCTGAGGTGCTTCAATTACCTCGTAATATAAATGACCAAGGAAATAAATACTGTAGGGAGACAGGGCAGCGCTGTGCTTTTTCTAGCAAATTTGATACTGGGCTAGGCTAATAAAGCATATGGTTCCAAACTCTGGTCTCTCTAATGCTATTTGACACGCAGAACATCCGGGTAGGAATACTTGACCTGTTCTGCATCGGTAATAAACTGTTCTGAGGAGAGGAGAAACACCAGAAAATGTCATTGAAAACCAGTAGTTTTTTAGTGGTCAGAATGTAATTTACAGACTTGGAAAGGGATCAGGACTCCGGGAGCTACTATGTTCCTGCTCTTAAAATAGTATTGGGTGTTTGAAGTCCAAGGTGACTGATCATTGTCTGATACAAAGAATGCCTCTTGCAACACTGCGATCAATACCGCCTCAGCATTTTGTCACTGGAGGCAAAGGACATTACCGCTTGATATGCAACAGTCTGTGCACTGGTTTTAAAAATGATCAAAGCTGGATCTGTCTGCTTTGGAGAAATTTCAGCTTCACAGCTAGAGTTAGGGACAAAAAAACATATTCGCTGCTGTAATAACAATAGTTTAGGGCGAAGGTCTGTCTTGAATTGCTCATATTTTGCTTTCTTATTTGAACAGGTACTTTCCGTACTTGATCGCAGTTCAGAGGTGAATCTCTTAGAACAGGAATGAAATAAAATTTTAAAACTGATGTTAGAGTTTTTCTTGGACACAGAAAAATTAAACTCAAGGTGGATTAATATAATTGTATAAAATTCTATCCAAATTTTTCTACAAATGTCCAAATGTATCAATACATAGATAACATGGATAGGTGAATAATTTTGGGAATGAGAGTGATTTTTTGCCTCCATCAGCAAGTTTTTATGATACAGTAACTATTTCAAAGTTTATATATCATTTCAGTTATTCTGAATAATGTAGTGCCAGGGTATTTTATGTTGTCTTACTCTACTGTAATGTCAGATTCATAAGATGTGGAATGTATTGCTTTAGTTGGGAGAGTCAGAACCATGCAGGTGTTAAATGATGGCTTGGGTTAATATGAAAGAGAAATATTTGATAAGCATACTTCAAGTGGTTTGAGATAATGAAACAATAAGGTACATGAGATACCTTGCTTCCCTTTTGTCAAGTCCTTCAATTCCAGTAATGCTTGGAATACCAAACTTGTGATTTCAGGGAATTAAAAATCAGAGCAAGCTTGTCACCTAATAAACCAGACTGTTTGGAACTATGGAATACTTTGTAGCTATGTGGAATTGGAACTGACTGTGCAGAATTAGATTATTTCACTTGTTGAGGGTAGTAGCTGAGGTGAAGGAAATTCTGTGTGTTTCTGGATTTTAGAGTTTCTTTGGGCTGGAATACCTATTTTCCTTGCCATTCTGTCTCCCAGAGTATCATCTTTACTTCCTAACTGTGAAATTATTTTTAACAAGTTTAACTGTATAGCAAGGAATACAAACTAAATATTTAATTGGGGTTCTTAAATGGTTGGTTATGGTAAACACAGATCAGATTCATATTTTAAAACATTCTAATTTTTAATGTTCCTATACCAGACTGACTGTAGTGGTGTATGTGTGTTTGCTTAATTCTGCTGTAGAAAGGTAGAACAAACCTGAAATTTTTGTTTCAGAAGGTCTTGCCTAACACTGTGTTGCCTAAACTGGCTTTGTTTGTATTTGCTTGCAGGATCGCACACGGACTTTTGACATGCATTCACTGGAGAACTCGCTAATTGACATAATGAGAGCTGAAAATGATTCACTGAAAGGTAAATTTAGAAAGAGACTATTTCCTGCAGTAAATAATCGGGGAGATGTGCTTACTTAGAATAAGAAGCTTCAGTTTTGGTTAGGAAAAACGGAGTTATGTTGTGCACCTAATGCTTGTCAGTCAGCTTGGGTAGGCTTGGAAGCTGTTGCAACACAAGAGCCCTTGAGAGCGTTGTGTCTTTCTACAAAACAATGCGACACACAAACATAAGCTGATCTTTTGTGTAGTTGCCAGTGTCGTTTTTAATAGACACAATGTGTGCAGCCTGTAAAAATGATCAACTTCAGGAATCTTGTGCAGCTCAGTGAGACGTAACTTTTTGCTTAAGAGTGTTTTCCACAGTTCTGTCTGGGGGAAGAATGAGGTTTATCTATGTAATTTTGAGAAGAACACTGAGAATTTCATCACAGTTTTTTAGTTCTTTACCTCTCTTTGTTGCTGCCTTGAATTGCAGAATTCTTTGCACCGTTGGGAAAGGAAAAGGGGGGCTGAACTGCCTTGCAGTTGGGATGGATTTTTTTTTAGGGGGGTGGGAGGCAAAAGTAATGTTCCTTTGAAAATACCTCAACTTAGAAAGTAGTCAAAGCATTTTTTACACATTTTATCCAAACCTGAATAGAAACTGCTTGTGGTGTACAGTTCAGAATTCTAGTTTCTTATTCTTCTTCTGTATGATGAGTAATCTATCTCAGTTTGATGGTTACTTGTTTAAGTAAACGTAATCAAACTCTTACTTATGCTGATTATCTAAGCATTCAGTTTTGTTACCAGTCATGAGAACACAACCCCCCCCATAATTTATTGTTTCTGAAAGCAAATTTCTTTTGATAGCAAAGCTGGTGGTGCTAATGAAATCTGGCTTGTTTTCATGGTGATTCTTGCTCAGAAAACCAGCCTTTGATAAACTGGCAATAACTTGCATTTGTTGCATTCACCAAGGTCTGAAATGCAGCTTGTGTTTCACATCCAGTACTGTGCAGCAATTCTGGGAGACGAGAAACATCAAGAAATACACTTTCCTACTGAAATGACAAGGAGAACTTGATGTAAAAGTAATTCCAAATGAATTAAAAAAGCAAAATACATTCCCTCCTTATGTGGTGGGGGCCAGGCTTTTATTAATGACAAGTAGTAATAGCTCCCGTTTGGGTTTTTTATGCTGTCTGGCAACATCCTGTGCCCTCAGCACTGTATGCTGAACCAACAATCAGGTGCGCTTCCTTGGCGGCAGCACCTGGGATTTGCCCTGAGACCACCTATTCAGCTGTCAGGCAGGCCCAACCCAGGTTTTGGCTGCTGAAATCTGGCAAGGTAACAACCCAAGGTGACAGGGCTGCAGAACAAATAAAAGTTCCCTTTAAACTTGAATTTAACAGAGTCAGGTTCATACGTATTCATATGTATTCAGCAACTAAACAAGGGCAGTTCTGTCCACTGCCATGAATTCTAGTTGAAATGCCTTGAAAAGGTTCTTTGCAATTGATTTTTTTTTTTTTTGAGTGCTTACCATGTTTTAAGAATGATGGAATAAGTGTGTCAGCAAAGAATACATACAGTCCTGATACACATTAATTCCTGCTTAAGCTTGATTGTTAACCCCCTCTAGAGAGTCACCTATGGTTTGTCTAAGTTTTGTGTGCATTGTATCTTACGATTGGAACCCAGTAATGTCAATCAGGCATTGTTCTGGGAATTATTACTTAAATTCTTTATAAATTGTTCTGTTTCATGGCTAATAGTTGTAAAACTATAAAGAAAAATCCTCAAAACTGAGATGAAAAATTCAAGTGACCCTACGTTTGTTGTGAAGTCCAACTTTTCAAGGATTTCTTCAGCAGAAACCTTGTTTGCTTATAGTGAAATATGTAGTACACGGAATTTGACTCCTGCATATCTGCATAGCAGACTCAGTACAGGAGCTTATTTGCTGTAGCGTGCTTATGAATGGATCTTTATTCAAAACCAGATTCTGTCTCCTGCTTTCACTTTTCTTTCTCATCTTTATTTAAACTGATTAAAAGGAATCTTTAAAAAACTTCGGTCTAGAAATCTTAAAACACGACAAATGATGCTTGTCGGTTCAAATCTGGCTTGCCTTTTCAAGCACCTGCAGTTAAATAAGCAGATCCATGAGAAGTTTCTCGTTGTGCATTTTAAATGGGTTAATCAGTGCATGCAGTGCTTTTAAACTAAAGTTGGATACTCTCGGAAAGGAAAAGCTTCTGGGATTGAGACTTTAAAAATAGCCTGGGCAAGATACTAATAAAACATACTGCGGAGAGCAATCTCAGAATGGCATGGAAATAATTTAGATGATCTAATAGGCCTCACTGCAGTCTTGTGAGTCTTCGAGAGGCTTTAACATTGACTCAAAGTGAGTTTAGTATGTAACACTAACACCACCCCCTTTGCTATTGTAATGGGCCTCAAGAGAAAGAGGTACTATGTTAAAACCTACCTTCTACACAACTTTGAGAGTATGGACATGATAATAGATACCAGTCACAGTTTGGAATCAGCTCTCTCTTGGAAATATATTTTTGCCTTTAAATGGGATGTTCAGAGCAGCAGGTTTTGGATCCTGTAACAAAATTGTAAGTAGGACTTCTTCAAAATGTAACAAGATCCATTCACAGTGTGTACTTCTTGATTGAGGTGATTAGGCTGTGCTAGCCTTGGATTTGTTTGGGACAGTAGTAATTATGTTCTTGGCTTCCCTTCCTATATGAAATAAGGTGTTTCCTGCTCGAGGTTCAAAGGTGACTCTTAAGTATCATTGCTTCAGTACATCCAGTATTACCTTTTAACGCTTTTGGTAGGCATTTTACCATTTCCCCTCCCTCCTCCCTTTTTAAGATATATTTTTATCCCTGCTCAAATCCTCTTCCTTTGCTGAGCAGCTGCCATTTCAATATGTTATTTTTATCCACACGAGCGAGTGTGCTGTGTGCTGCGTGCTGCATAGCCAATGACAGCCCGCAGAAGCCTTTCCCTGGAGACTAATTGCATCTTCTTTACAATGTATTCGGCCTTCATGAGCTGAGCCTGGGATCCAGAGACTGACTTTTGAATCTGGGTCTTCCAGATGGCAGTTTGAGCATTACTGTAATAGTAGGAGATTGACTAAATATTGCCTTGTTAAGTGACACTGAAATGTCTTTAAATATTTCAGAACCACAGACTGTTGTATTACTGAAATATCCTATGGTTCAGTTCAGGATATAAGGTTATTGTCTGGAAATTATGCAAGGTGAAATGGATTAAAGAAGCAGGCCAGTACATCTGCCTCTAGGACTGTGAAGTACTTCTCTAAGATTTGGGTGTGAATAGCGTCTGCATGAATGCTATGAATGTGAAATAGTCTCTGAAGTCTAAACATGCACAAAAAGGGAGGTTTTAGAAGCAGCGTAAGGTAAGATATACATACAGACACTGGGAGAGAGACAGCAGCTCTAGATTTTAGAGATAAGAAAGCCAGAATGAGGAGAACTGGCATCATTCAGGACTCCTCTGAGCAAGTGCCTACACCTAACTATTTTAAAGCAATCCTCAGCCCCTTAATATTGATTTGAAAAACTATTTCAGATGCAAAGAAAGTAGAGAAACCTTATGAAGTATACTTTGATGAAAGGGATCAAAATAATTTTGACAGCATCTTATGAATGTCAGATAAGAAACTGAACTGGTAGTTTGTTTTCCAGCTGCATGGGTTATGCAGCTTGTTTGTATTAATTGAGCAGAATGGGCCATTTGGTTTCCTATATGATACAGAAAATTAATGAGAATCTGGTGAGAAACAGGCCCAATTTTTGCCAAGGGCTAAATAACAACTATGGTTCTTTTTGGGGAAATGTTCTTTTATATATGCACGGGGCAAAATCTGGGCTATTTTAAAAGGAAAGAGAATAGATTTTGAATTTTTTCTTAAATTTTAAAACACTCTTTGTTTTCATAGTAGTGAGGAATGCTTGAGGTTAGTGGCCAAGATCAACCTTTCTCCTCTCCCCTTGGTCTGTGTGAAGAGGTGTATGATCTCTTAACCGAGTTGTGCAGGTCAGAGGCCTCTGGCCAAGGTGTGTGACTGAACTGCCACTGCAGCCATCCTGCTGCCTCCTGTACAGGAGCCAGCTCTCGCAGGGCAACCGTGGGGCTCGTACCTCTGACTTCCCAGAGCCGCATCAGCAACTGGTCTGGTGGGTGTGCCTTGCCTCGGAGCAATCTTACCTAAGGATTACTCATGTGCAACTTTTTGTGGTTTCCACCTTAGGCTGACATGCACAAAAACTTTCCCTTATACTGCACCAGGCTGGGGACAGGTTTTTGTAGACAATTTGTGTTTGGAAATTGTGGGTGACTTACAGTGCTGAATGTCTCCTGCTCAGGATCTTCTTGAATTTTACCTTCTATTCAGTAACCAGGAAAGCCTAATGGGATTTGCAGACTTGCGTGCATATTAATTAAGAGGAAACCAATTGTTTTTATTATCTCAAAATATTGGTGAACTGGGTCTAATAGCAATAAGCTACAACCTGTCTGATGGAGCTGTGATGAGGGAAACAGTCTGTGAATTTTATTTGATGTCAGCAGCTCCAATTTCTGTTGAAATCCACTCTTTTCAGCTGGGTTAGGGTAGAACTGTTACAACTGCTATTAACGAGTAAGGACATGCTTTCTTTCGAAATGCAGCTAATACGCAAGATTTTGGGGCAGTATTCAATATTTAAATGTTTAGTCTTTAGGTATGCTTTTTTCCCCCAGTTCCTCTCTTGGCAATTGAAGTGTTTGTTGATTTATCTCTACCTTTCCGATATTTGGGGTTTACCAGAGCTGTTATTTAGGAACAGCCAAGAGTCTGGTAAGAAAATGAGATCCCCTGGGCAACAGGGAAGAACAGGATATTCCATTAATAAATGCCGAGATGGGACCATAGATTGGATTCTGACCTTACACAGAACATACGTAATGTTATGATTTTGCATTCATTTGCTATTATCTAAT